AGAACAGCAAAGATGGGGCCAGTGTGGTCTCCTGTGGGAGGGAGTTCCAAAATCTGGGAGGAACAACAGAAAGTCTCTCTCCTAAGCCCCCACCAGATGTACCTGTTAAAGTGGTGGGACCAAGAGAAAGGCCTCACCAGATGATCTTAACACCGAAGCCAGCTGATAGTGGGAGACATGGTCTTTAAGTTAGCTTGGACCCAGGCCAGTTAGGGCTTTATAGATTATACCTATAAAGGTATGTAGCTTTGATAAGTACCTTTTATACCTGTTTATATCTTCCTGCTACAAAGGTCCAGGATAATTGCCTACATCCATGTCAATGCAAAAATTTTTTCATTTTTTTGAACAAATCACATTTTCTACATATCAGGCAGAACCGAATTTCTGAAGCCTAAAGCAATGTCTGGCAAGTTTTTTGTTATTAAGCTATTACAACCTTCTGACATGCATAGTATTAAATTGTTAAATTATTATAGCCAATCAAATTTTAATTACCTGCATTTTGACTGCAATTACCACAGAAATTAGATCCTTATCCAGCTCTTTTAACACTATCAGTTTCTTCAAAGTCAAACTGCACAACCTGCAAAGCAAAACAAGTATCCAGCACTCAGTAATTCCAAAATTTGACTCTAGGGAAATGAAGGCAAAAACACAAGCTAAGCCAAGAAATTAATATAGGAAAGACCACCCAGAAGACTTGAACACTTTTAAATAAAGGATAACTTCACTTACTACAGAATTCTTTATACATACCTCAATTCAGGATAAAGCCAACTAGACAAATGAAACAACCAGACATATACATAGGCTTCCTATTATTTCCTACACAAAATTCTTTTTGTAACAGAAATACTGGCAAGATATGAAGGAGAACTTAAACCCCAACGGTGTTAGGCTCCTCAGTCGCCCCTCCTGCCTAGATCGGGTGATACTTATAAGAAGCATGCAACTGAAAGTTTTTACTCAGGCGTGTTTATGTTTACTCCATTTTAATCTTTTTTTAAAATAAGTTGGTAGGGAAAAATTAATACAGACAATACTTATTTTCTTAGCAAACATAATCCTATTTCCCTATTAAGATCATGAAATATATCATGTAACTTTCCCTGCCAATGTACTAAATCCTAGGTCTCACTACTCCCAACCAACATCACCAGTCCTCTTAAGAGATGATGGGAGATGGTTCAAAATTGGAGGCCACCAAGTTGAAGAAGGCTGATACAATTCTGAGAGCATCTGTGCTTTTGCCAGGAGATTGGCTGAGTGACAGTCGTAAAGTAGGCACTTCTCTGCCAATACTGAGACCTCCTGGCACAAGAGGCTACCAGTATAACTAGGAAAAACACCACCAACATAGGTGCAATGCCCATGGTGTTCACTGTAGTTTAAATATGGTTATTAAACAAATTCCAAGTTATGCTTAAAGAATATTTGCTTGTTACACTTTTCCTTTCACTATTGAAGTTAAGGCAGCATACAGTATATGGAATTCTCCCAGGCAAGCACTTACTAGATCCATACCCACCTAGTTTAAACATAGTGGCTCTCTTAATGTGCCTTCAAACCATACTTACTTAGTGCATTTGGACCTGAAAGTGCAAGAAAATATTGTGCCCTTAAGTTTAGATCTTGGAGGCAAGACGCATACAAGGCACTGAAAATATTTACAGTCTAATTTTAGCATGTCCCAAATGCTGTGTATATAAATATGTCATCTCCGTTCCAATTTCCCCAGTCTGACTTGCACTATTTTCCGTATTATCGGAAAATTCTCCAGCAGCTTTCCCCAGTTGTTCAACCATATTTTAGTTTTCACCTATTGGAAAAAAAGAAGGCAGGGGCAAAGGGATGGCTGAAAATGGAAGCTACAAGAACAGGAATAAGTCATAATAACCTACCCAAGAAAGATCTAGTGAGAGGGTTCTCATTTGTGTCACCTTGTTGGGAGCAATACACTATATAAAGACACAGAAGTACGCCTTCTTAGCTATGCCTCCCTGACTATAAAAATGTCCCTCTTTGATCTCATTTTAGCACCAAATTAAAATGTAAATGTGCACCAAACTTTTGGTGCTTCAGCTTTGGCTTCCACCATTGTGGGCTTTATTTTGATTATGTTAAACTTTTTAAAATTATTAAAGTTTTTTCATAGTTTTTAAAATATTTTTTACTTGCTGTGCTTCCTGCTTTAATCATTCCACATGAAGATAGCACTATTTTAAATAATAAATATAACTTGGTCGTTTGAAGCTTTCCCCCACCTGGTGATGTTAAATCCAACAAAATAAAAACATAAAAGCAAAGACAACCAAAAAAGAGAGAGCATTCACACTGTCATTCTTCAGACTCATGTACACAGAATTAACAAAAATTAAAAAATTCCTAAAATAATCTAGTTCTTCCAGAAAGATCTCTGTGTACTGTAGTTAAGAAATGGTATATTTAATCATATTTGCCTATATATAGTAATAATAAACCAGCTATCAGTGACTAGCCTAACTGCAGCAATGCATCAGACACCACCTTTTGTCAAACTTCAACTCTAAATCCCACACCATTGTGTGATACTGACAAAGGATATATGGATTATTGCTTTTTCATCCGTAAACTCATATTAATTATGCTACCAACAATGACAAAATGATATAGTTGTAATGTTGTAAGCCGCCCAGAGACCTTTGGGTAGTGTGGGCGGCATATAAATTAAATAAATAAATAAAATTAAATTAAAAAATGAATAAATAGCTGTATTTGTACTATCTAGCAATATGCCAGAAAATTTGTTCATTTGCCTTTGTTTGTGTGTGCGCTCATGTGTCTCAAAAGAGTTTTGCAACAATAAGAAATAGAAGCATAAGATTTTACACAGACACTATTGAGGTCCCATCTTAAATAACTGGAGTACTGTAGTTATACCTTGATTGGCAATGCAGAAGCAAGCACTGGCACACTATGGTCTTCTCAATAAAACAACAAGAGCTGGAAATGTGGGAGCCTCCAAGGACTAGACTGATTTTCCAAATGAAACAGCCAGTCAAATGTACATCTTGGTTGGCCATGCCGGTTGAGGAATCCTCTGGGAATTACAGTTGGAAGAAATTAGGTGGATGATTTTAGAAGTTCTAACCTTCTTACCTCAAAAGACCTCTAAAACATTAATAACCAGACACATAAAATTGTGCAGAGATACTACAGAGATCCCAACTTAAAAGAACTGAATGGCTTATATCATGACTGACTGTGCTAGTGGAAAGATGCTGGAAGCTATAACCTTCTTACTGAACCAAGAGCATGAACTAGAAATGAGACTGTGTAGATAATACTGAATGCCCAACTCACAAAACTGGTTACATCTCAACTAGCAATGCTGGTTGGGGAATTCTAGGAATTATAGTGCAAGTAAGTTAACTTGGAGATTCTGGAAGCTGCAGTCACTGTATCAAAACGGTAAGG